CACCTAAGGTTAACAGAAAAAGCTGCTAAACCACCCTTGTAGAGATTCTTATAGCTCATTTCTTCCTAAAGTTTGTGATGTTGTTTTGAATGACAATAAAAGCCTCACGACTGAATGATTTAGCTCATAAAATACAACACAACCTAGTGTTGGACAAAACCGATGGATACAAAAATCAAGAAATCACATTCTTGCCATGTTTATGTGAGAAAATACCAACGAGACATTCTGGCATTTGTTTTATACATGTATTATGAAAGGGGTCAAGTATAAAAGCAAAAGCATGAATATTATCAGTGATAAGACGAATAGCTTGGAAGCCGTCGATAAATATCGGAGCTGCTGCGAACATTTTTCGCTAGAAAGCAGTTTTAACACCCTTTTAAACTTCCTGAACATTATAAATGCGAAAAACTGTTCTGATGGAGAAGTATAATTATCTGAAGACTCGAAAGTTAGGTTGCGAAAAATCAACGGCATGGTATGTAGGTCACGTGAAGATTTCTGCAGTAAATCCAGCTAACTCCTTTAACACTTTTTTAATTATTGCAAACAAAGAGAAGCAATCAAAACTCTACCTAAACTTCATCGACTTTGAAAAGGCCTTCGACAGCGTCGACCGACAAGTAATTTGGCAGTTGCCTCAACACTACGGTTTTAGTGCCACAAACCTTTATCAACCTCATTCAACAACTATATAACGATGTCATATGCCAAGTAATTCACAATGGGAAGCTCAGTGATACTTGTGAAGTGAAGACAGGAGTAAAACAAGGCTGTCTACTGTCACCCATGATATTCATGATTGTGGTTGACTGGACTGGATCATGCAACAAACAGTGAGGAGCGAGAAGAGGGGCACACATTGGCTGGACCACGGAAAAGAACCTAGAAGATTTGGATTTCGCCAATAATGACTTGTGTATAATGTCACACAAACTTGAAAATCTACAAGCGAAAAGTAACAAGTTGACAGAAGAGGCAGGGCAGCGAAGACGGGACTTCCAGTGAATGTAGAGAAGACAGAGGTGATGAAGATACGCGACCAACAACAACAACAAGCTGCAATCACCATCAACGCGAGAAACTTAAAGCAAGTAGCCCCACTCACCTATCTAGGAAGCACTGTTTCAACCATAGGTGGCACAGGCACAGACGAGGATGTTAAAGCAGCCACGATCGGAAAGACAGCAAGACAGGCGTTGATTAGCCTGAAATCAGTGTGGAGATCTTCTGCACTCCACTCAGCACAAAGCCTGAACAAGATTCGGATTTTCAAAACCAACACAGTCAAGTCAGTGTTCCTGTATGCTTCAGAGACTTGGTGCGTTACGAAAAGCATTTCCAACAAACTACAGACATTCATCAACAACTGCCGCCTACTCACGCTCGTTACTGAATCTCAGATGGATTGACAGAATAATAAGAATAAACAACAAGGAACTGACTGAACTGGCTGGTGACGAACCAACCAAGAACATATCGGTGAACAAATATTCAGTGGAAGTAAGTGTAGATGGATTGGATTGGGCATACACTGAGAATGCCGACTGGGGACATTATGCGTCAAGCCAGGTGGTCGAATGGAACCCAGATGGGAAGTGACGAGTTTGGCGTTGGAGGTGAGGGTGACATGGAGGAGATGGTGCGAGGAGGAGATGAGAGGTTGTGGGGTGTCATGGAGCCAGGTTGAAGAGTTTGCAGGTAAGAGATTGGAATGGAGACGTGCTACTGAAGCCCTATGTTTCACTAGGAACCCATGAGACAAATAATAAATCAATAATAATAAACAATGAGAACGAACATTTTTAGGTACGTAAAAGAAAACGAAGCGATAAGCACAAGATTCAATTAATCAACGAATTTAGGACATTATTTACAGACTTTTGATGAGTTGTTAACAGTTTTCGAAAGGTTTTCCTCATCTAATTCGTCATCTCTCTGATTTAGAATTCATGATCAGCTGGTCATCTAGTGTAACCTAGCTTCAGAGAAAACATTTTATCATATTCATTACGAAGGTAATAATTCATCTGATAAGCTAGCAAGCGATTTCTTGTTATTGCTTTGGAGATGGCAGTAGTCGAATAATAACCAATTATAAGGCAACTACTTGAGTCTGTGGAACTAATTTTAGGTACGATTCTACTAGTCGTAAATAAGTTTCGGATTTTTGAAAAGGCGAACTCAAATTAAAAGAAACGTATACTAAATAACATAAGTTAGCACCAGTGTTGCTAAGGCGCCAGAAAGAAGTAAACAGGTGAATCGAAACTAACTTATAAGAAATTTAGGCAAACAATCTCACACCCTTCTAAATGCAAACGGTTTCATTCACGAATTTTTCAGAACACGTGTTCGGTTGGTTGCAGAGAGATCTTTGCTAGTTATCAGCGGGGAACAGTTAATCTTTCATCAATGTTTCCAGACTGATAATAATGAAGTCTGTTGTATTAGAAACGTGTGATCTATATTTTACTTGATGGACAACAGTGAAATCCATGACATGCATCTCATCTGTTGGGTGCACCTGCACCCAAGTGAGCGATGTTATTCCCATTAAAACTCGAAACCAGTACCCGATGCTTCACACAAGGCACCGTTAACCACTAGGCCACTAGGGTCACAGAACCGCCAGCTGATGACTCTCGAATGGAGTGAAACACGCATCCTGGATTCTATATGTAAATTATAAGAGAATGAATATTCAAACAGTATAGAAGCATAGCAGCCTATCTATCAACACAGAGTGAGCAATTTGCTCCAGGATAACAACGAAAAGTTGTGAGTAACAATAAATATTAGTGTTCGACGTATAAGTTCCCAGATGTTCCATACACCCCTTAAAAGTACTTCTAATGCTTTGCTTCGGTTGGTTTCGTTTCAAACATTTGAAACAGGTAGTTTTATATTTATCTAAGATGACACCTGACACAACCCAAGCCGGACAGTTACTTCTTAAATGGGCCAGATTACTAGTTTTTCAAGCTGTTTCACAGGCCTTAGCAGTAAACTGCAAGTCAAGACTAACCTTTTTCTAAAACTGAAATGTATACGGAAAATGATTATTGGATGGTAACTTATATAGCTAACCAGTCCTGAATACTTAACACTTGCCGAAACCTATCGACAAAGTTTAGCATTTCACCACTGAAGAATGCGACTAAGTGCCGTTCATTGGTTGATTTGTGTATGAAGTCAGTATATTTCATACTCAGGTACTAAAAGTAGGCACAACAAAAAGCCAGACAAACGTTTGACGTAACCATTGTTAGTATCTACGTACATCATGATGAATGTCTGCATCAATTAACTTTATTTGGGATTCATTCTGCAGTATGCAGAAAGTACAGGAATTGGATTAAGATATTTACCACTAATAGTATCCGTAATGTCAACAGTGAACGTTTTGAATATAAATGAATTCTAATACGAGAATATGTTAACATTAAAATTAGCCTGTTCATCTATGAAAGAACTAGAGGTGAAGGACAGAACAGCTTATAAAACGAGTTAAGCTACAGATTTCTAGATGAAAACAAACGTTCTATTCGATAAAGGTCAAATATGTATATTTGGATTGGTGTATCTTGTGAACTCGCTTAAAATCCAACAATGATTTAATGAAATCTAGTGAAGTGGAATTAGAAATCAATTAATTTACAAAGTGTACATTGTAAATTAAAAATTGATGACTGTTCTCATGTTTTAAAAAGTATTAAGTTTCAAACTTAGCATACATCTCTTGTAACAGAGAGAGTATTTATCTATATTCTTTTGGATCAGTGAAGTCATAGTACATAATTTAAGCCTAACCATATCCACTGCTCGAGTTCGGTGGAATCACCGCATGGGCAATGTTGACATCGGGTGAAGAGTACTAGACAAGATAGGCAAGTCGATTGACGGGGTTTTCAGCCTTCATTGGCTGAGGTAGCTTGGATGTGTGTCGGTAATTCCGAATTACAGCCTACCTCGACATGCCATCCAGAGAGAAGTTGGATTAGGCTGGAAGAGGGTTAATGGTGTCCAGACCAAAAACGGACACCGCTTGATATCTCTGACTAATAATCTGAGTTGTATGACAAAATGCATACTGCGTAGCTAGTGTCTGCACGACAAAAGGGATCAGTGGCTGAATATCGATCAAAACAGCGCAGGTGTATTCACTCCTTGATATCTTTTAAAGCTTGAATATTTGCACTAACCATTATCTTCAAATTGTTTATTTTCTCATGCAACTTTGGAAAATTAAATAGTAGTCTTCTTCTGTCCACCTGCTTTTGTATATTACTGAGAATTTTAGCAACTTGAAGGGATACACTTGTGCGTAAGGGTCTACATTGATTCTGTCCATCTATCTGATCACATCACTAAGAATTGTTCAATACCTTTTGTTTCCAATGTAAGATTTTATTATCTTTCAAAACCATACTTCTCTTCTATTCTCCTGTTTTCTCATATAATATTCACAAATTCTTGTCATTATGCTTTCTCTGTTCATTTGGCAATGCATCTTAATTAAAAATTTTTATTCATGTCAAATTTTTTCTTATAATGCAAATGGTAGTGTAAATCGTCACAATGCTTAGAAAACTTCTGTAACTACAGGTCACATTAGTTCTTTTTACAAAGCAACCCATAAAAATGTCATTTATTGGTTTCGACAACGAAACTGCCTAAAAATAAATTATTATTGATGAAATATCATAATGACTGGTTTTGAAAGTGGTGAAGAGATTCGACCTGGCGGCACCTAGCATATCCGTCAATTAAATGGTGAACTAAAATACTGGCCACAAATATACTTCATTTTAGTTATTAACAATTTCGCCCATCCATCAAGTAAAAGAGTAACTCATAACCTACTAATCATTTGCTTTATTTTCGCTTTTATTGTAATTGGTATCTTGTGGAGAAATTTAAAGTAATTTCGTTATTCGTAATTCAGGGGGCATATGTTATCTATTAGGGACTCTACTTTTTCTTGTCACACTCCTCCTCTAACTAAAAGAAAATGAATTACATCCACCCAGTGAGTAACTTTATTGAAAGTGAATGACTGTTAACAAGTGAATTTCTAGAAAGAAATGTACATACATAAGTTACATACACCTCATAATGCTAAGAAAGTAACTTGAGTGTCTTTCACTCATCATAAACATCACAATAACAATAACAAATAGTAATTGTAATTGAAACAAATAAAGACCCAAAAAGGATTGAATAAATACGATAGAAAGAATACAACAGTTGACAAATACATTTTCTGAGAGATTATAAGAGTATAGATACAGAAGTAAACTACATATTGGTTTTCTTAATCTCTGAAGTTGCATATTTATCTTGATATGGTTAATTTAAAATATCAAGTAGAACCGATTAATTTATCAGTTTCGATTGAATAATTTATCTCCTTTTAGAAGATATCAAAATATACTGATATATATATGAATATATCCACATTATGTATATTTCACAGTTGATAACAACTTATAAATGAATTAGAATGTACATATGAGCTAGTAAAAAGATTGCACAAGTTATACAGAAATAATACAATTAAAATTAACAATCTTAACTTCAAATAACAAATGCAGTAGGTTTGTCATAATAACAGAAATAATAGTAATGATAATCATAATAATAATAATAATTCACTTGATCGTTTATTTGATCATTTAACTCCAAAGGAAAGCTTGTAAATGTGTTTTTTTTTATCCACTGACAAACGTATATTCATCTCTGTTTTTCTCCATTTTTATAAATATTTATATAGTTAGCTATCTCTAGTTAAATAGCTCAACTTTATTTTTACGCATAAAGTTCATCGTTAATTGTATTTACTTTTTTTTTTCATTTTTCAATGTGTAGATAGTTTTAAAACATGATTACTTGTTCAGGTATCAAAGATAACATCTGATGTATCCAATTGAAATGAAAAACCCAAATCCTGTGAGTAGAATATAATTTTCAGCAATACGTATCCCTTGAAGATGAAAAAAGAAAGAAAAGAGAGAAAGAAAAGAAAGAATAAAGGAGTAGGAGATAAAGCTGTTTATTTCACTTCTTCTTTTTCTTCTTCTTTTCATCTAACTAGAATGAACTTGTATATTGAGAATTACCAATATGATATGAAATTTAAAGTTTTGTTATTCCTCTATTTCACACTAAAGATTCATTGAAAAATTTAATCATGAAGTTTCATGTCTGAATTTCTAGCTTCGTCTTGTACTACTGCTTTCTTATTTGTTTCATGTAGTCGAATGATGAGTTAATGTTTTTTTCTTATTCTTGTCTTCTTCAGATTTATTTATCATATTCATAGTTCGTGTAGTTCTTCCTTTCGTTATGACACAGTTTCATTTTCAAATAATCTTAGGGGCAAAATGGGAATAATTTGCTTCAAGGAGTAAGCGATTCACTATTCTTTTCTTGAAAAATTATTCTATTTTAAAAAATGATGTTTGAATGTCTGTGATGTTAGTAATAAATGATCAGTTAATATTTCCAAGTCATCTTGACTACATAGAGATTTTTTTGACTGGTTCTATCAAATGGAATCTCTTTAGTTATTGAATTAAAAACAACACCTAACTTGTAACTCGTGTGAGCATAGCTGAAAGTTGAATATGTATCAGTTTGAAGGGTTTCTAACTCAGTACTAAGACACTATTTTTTAACTTGTTTGCAGAAGATTTTTTTGGTCAAAGTAAATAGAATATTCTTGAATTCATGAGTTTCACGTTTGAAAAGAAGTCTTGAAGAGACGTTTATTCATAAAATGTTTTATTAAGAGTCTAGTGTCCACTTCTAGTTTCACCTTGATACATATTAGTATCTCATACAAAGTGCGGATTCTCACCAGTTTTGCAGATAAACAATGTTGATTGATGCTTGGAACAGAAACATCTGTATTCATTTCATTCTACTGATTGCATTTGCTTCCAAACTTTAAATACGGTACATGCGATTTATATAATTTAGTAGTATCATGCATGACATAAGGCGGCAAACACACTTAATAGTCAGAACAGAAGTTAATAATGCCTAAACCTCCTCGAAGTGGCACCTAAGTTCATTCATTAAAAAGATTTCCCGAAGAAAATCATAATAAAAATAGGGCTGTATAAGCCTACTTTCTCGAAGCATAATGTTTCTCGTTTTGACTCTCAGAAGATGAAAGCGCAACTTTTGAGTGGGAATATTTTACACTGTTATCACTGTCACTGATAACAACCAATACACAGATTTTAACAGTTGGGAAAATAAAATAAGTATTGCAAATCGTTATACAGATGTCAGTGCACATCATTGTTAATTCTTCCCATCTGATCACTAAAACTCGTTTTGATTGTAGTCATACTACAATTCACAGAAGTATATGAAGACGCCAAATGCCAAGTGATTGACAATCGGAAGCTCAGTATAACACCTTCGAAGTGAAGATAGGAGTGAGACAAGGCTGCCAACTACCACCAAAAACGATCTTCATGATCCTGGTCGAATCGATTCAACTGGACTGCATGATGCAGCAGACAACTGTGAGGAGATGTGAGAAGGTGGACATATGCTGGCTGGATCGATGGAAGGAACCCAGAAGATGATTTGGACTTGGCTGACAACCATGATTTATGTCTGACGTCTAACATCGCACAAACTCGGAGATCTGCAGGTGGAAATCAACAAGTTGACAGAAGAGGTGAGGCGGGGAAGACGAGATTTCCTTGAAGTGAATGTGGAGAATATGGAGGTGATGAAGATATCCAACGATCAGCATCACCATCATCATCAACAAGAAGGAGAAGAGGAAGAAGAAGAAGATGAAGAGGAAGAAGAAGCATGAACACGATGAAGGGAGAAGTCGTAATTGAGGGAGTAGTATGTTTCACCTACCACCTAGGCATGGCAGTGCAGGGTAGGGCAGGGCAGGGCAGAGCAGAGCAGGGCAGGGCAACATCGTTTCAACTACAGGTGGCGAGGGCGGCAACGGCAACGGCGGCACAGATGAAGATGTCAAAGCCAGGATCGGAATGACAGCAAGACACGCCTTCATTAATCTGAAACCAGTTTGGAGTATCACTGCACTGCACTTCACTGCACTGCACTGCATTGCACTGCACTGCACTCAGCATAAAGTGTGAACACGATACGGATTTCCAACACCAATTCAGTCAAGTCAGTGCTTCCATGTGATGCTTCAGAAACTTGACGGTGCCTTACGAAAAGCATTCCCAACTAACTACACACTCTCATCTTCAACAACTGCCATCTACGCTCACTCGATACTGACACTGAAGATCAGACAGATGGGCAGAAAGAATAAGAATGAGCGAGATGGAAGACACTGTGGCTGGCTGGTAACGAAGCAAGCAAGAACCTATCACCCATCAACTACGGGGAGGAGAGTGAGGAGATTGACTGGATTGAATTGGATTGGATTGGATTGGGGATACAGTGAGAAAACCAGTTGGGGAGATGATATGCGAATTCAGGTGGTTGAGTGGAGTGAATGGAAATGGGAAGCAAGGATGTGGGGGTCCGTGTGAGGAGATGGGAGGGTGACATGGATGATATGATGTGGGGAATAAATGAGAGCTTGTGTTGAGTGTTGGAGCCAGGTTGTTGAGAGTGGAGAGAGGGGAGTGCAATGGAGACGTGTTGGTGAAGCCGTATGTTCCTTTAGGAATCCAAGGGACAAATAATATAATAATAAGTTGAGGTTGACAACAATGGGTTATATTTCCAGTCAGTATAAGTGAAGTTTACACCAGTGGTGCAGTGTCATTATTTATGCATCATTACCTGAACATGTGAAAGCTCTATATTTTGTCGTTTCTGGTATATCAGGTCTGGATGGTGTGGATGCCACGTTAAATGATGCTACTTGGTTCTCTTTACCAAGACATGAATTGCTTCAGCTTCACTGATTAGCTTCATTATTGGATGTAAATTAAAGGAATATCTTCACCTATATTTTGCTTGTGATACTTAGTTCTACCATTACGGAATGGCTCTGAGACCTGATTATCGCTTAGGCTTCACAACTAACTCAGGAGACGATTGTGTAGTTTGTCTAGAGGTTTTTACTTTAACTTCTGGGCGATCATATTTGTCTGTAAGCAATTCTCATTATTCCTACATATAAATCAACAATCTACACATTGTAGAAATATAGCAATTTCATCTTTATCCAGTTACTCTTAAAATATGAGCGAAAACTGAGAAAAATACAGGGTAAGTTATTATCATCGAAGACGGTGATTACGATTTTTATTTGTTGGTAACGAAGCAAGCAAGAACCTATCACCCATCAACTACGGGGAGGAGAGTGAGGAGATTGACTGGATTGAATTGGATTGGATTGGATTGGGGATACAGTGAGAAAACCAGTTGTGGAGATGACATGCGAATTCAGGTGGTCGAGTGGAATGAATGGAAATGGGAAGCAAGGATGTGGGGGTTCGTGCGAGGAGATGGGAGGGTGACATGGATGATATGATGTGGGGAATAAATGAGAGCTTGTGTTGAGTGTTGGAGCCAGGTTGTTGAGAGTGGAGAGAGGGGATTGCAATGGAGACGTGTTGGTGAAGCCGTGTGTTCCTGTAGGAACCCAAGGTACCAATAATTGTAATAATACTATTTCCTGTGATAATTTTTATAACTTTTGATTAATGTACTCAATAAACTGCTAGACTAAAGTAGTTTATTCCGATTCACTTTCAATCTTTCCATTGTGACTGTATAAACGTTGGATAGCTTATGCTTGAGCTAAAACTAACCGTTCAAATTTCTCAGTTTATATACTTTCGTTACTCATGAGATGAATTTCTTCCTCAGAATAATATATATATATATATATATATATATATATATATATATATATATATATATATATATATAATTATTATCATTCTTAGTCCCTTGGGTTCCTAATGGAACATAGGGCTTCAGTAACACGTCTCCATTCCACTCTCTTATCTGCAAACCCTTCAACCTGGCTCCATGACACCCCACAACCTCTCATTTCCTCCTCACACCATCTCCTCCATGTCACCCTCACCTCCAACGCCAAACTCGTCACTTCCCATCTGGGTTCCATTCGACCACCTGGCTTGACGCATAATGTCCCCAGTCGGCATTCTCAGTGTATGCCCAATCCAATCCATCTCCACTTCCTTCCACTGAACTGAGGCAACTGCCAAATTACTTGTCGGTCGACTCTGTCAAAGGCCTTCTCAAAATCGATGAAGTTGAGGTAGAGAGTTGACTGCCATTCTTTTCTCTGTTCTATGATGATGCGTAGTGTTGCGTTGCAATTTGGTCCACCCATGATTTGTGCTTCCTGAAGCCTACCTGCCTGTTCCGGTGGTAGTTTGGAATCCAGTGCATCCTTAAGCCTCTCCAGAATGACGCGGCTTAATATTTTGCTTGCTTTGGGTGGACAGGAGAGTGATTCCGCACCAGTTCTTGCAAACACTGAGGTCTCCCTTCTTCGGCAGTTTGACAAGGTAACCCTCCTTCCAATCAGTGGCCAGCTACCTTCTCTTCCTTCCACACCTTCTGCAATAGTGGTGTGGTGTGAGCATGTCTGCTGTTGTCTCTGCATCTGTTCTCAGTGCTTCTGGTGGGATCGCATCTGGTCCTGCTGCTTTCCCATATTTCAGTAGCTTTATGGCGTTCAGGACTTCCACTTTTGTTGGAGGATTTATGTTCACTTGTAGTTCTGCGGCTGGGCTGTAGGTGGTATTTCTGGACGACGTGCAGTTGGTGGTGGTGGTCGATTCAAATGCTGCTTGAAGTGGTCACCCAATTGTTTCCTTTGTTTCTCTTCTTTCGTAATTACATTTCCGTCATCATCTTTTATTGGCTTCGTCTGCGTTGATCTCCTCCCAGATAGCAACCTGGTTATTTGATACAATGTTGTCAGGTCTCTGTCTCTCTTACCTGCAGTCTGTTCTGCTTCACTTGCCAATGTGTCGTAGAAGT